AAAAAACAATACAAAATCAACATTTTTCTTATTTTTTCCTCTCGACATGGACGTCCTGTCGTCCACGGCGATAATCCATTGCAAAAAATACCACAAAGAGCACACGCGCGCGTTCATGTCAGAATCCTACCGAACACCGTGTGTTTGCAAGCATTTCAACATAAAAACATCAAAAACCCAATGCTTTTTCACAAAAATTGTACAAATTTCCCGCCCGGGCTCTCTTGCTGAAATCATAGGAAAACCATAGGAATCTTAAGAATTCTGCCAAATCCAGCGATTTCACGTCATCGCGCGGTGCACTCGCGATGCTCTGTCATGCACCCAGGCCGCGAATCCTGTGCAAAAAATACCACAAAGAGCACACTCGCGCGTTCATGTCAGAATCCTACCGAACACCGTGTGTTTGCAAGCATTTCAACATAAAAACATCAAAAACCCAATGCTTTTTCACAAAAATGCTTTGGGGTGTCCTGTCAGACCGTCGGGCTTCCTCCGGCCACCTCTGGCTTCCTGCGGTGTACCGGGCCATTCTCGACTCGTCTGGCAATGCGTGCGCGGCATTCAACACGCGCTCGCCAGTTCCCGTCGGCAACCGCCATCGCGGCCGCATCAGCTGTACCAAACCGGCTGGCCGGTGTGACTTCGGCCCCCAGTTGTGCCAGCTTTGCTTCTTATGTTGTGGGAGGGCGGGTGGGACTGGGCATGCCATGCTTGACTCGCTCGAGCTGGCTAGCTTGACTCCTACTCCTACTCCTACTCCTCCTCCCCCTCCTCCCCCTCGTCCCCCTCCTCCTCCCCGCCTCGACCCGGGCAGGGCTGCGCTGCCTGGAGCTCACCGCGGCGCCGCCCCGGAGCCGATCGGGCCCGCCGCTGCGGCCCGGGGCTCCGGCGCGCTCGCCGGGGCCGTGCTGGTGGCTGCCCTCATGACCCGCGTGGGCGGGTCGTCGTCCATCACCACCCACCAAACCACCCCAACCCAACCAGAAGGCTCATATTTACCCTCGACTTCCAGTGTGGGGGGGGGGGAAACATAGAAAAAACGCATGTGGACCCCTTCCCCCCCCAACCCCAAATTCGGGTCTTCGGGTTGGGTTGGGGTGGTTGGACGCTACCAATGGACGCTACCAAGTGACTCGTAGAGCTTCCCTAAGCTAGTTGCTGGAAGCTTAAGAGTAATTCCGGCGCGCTGGAGAGCTAGTTGGCAAGAAAAATCTCGACGGAACTTTTGCTGACTTTTGGTCGGTTGAAAATTCTGTTCTCGAAATTGAACCATTCGTTTGAGCTCTAGTATTTTTGTCCCGTGATATTCGATCTTATTCCCGCTCGCCATCTTGATCTCAGCTCGATCGGGTGAATATTTCTATCAAAAAGCACTCTGGCGGGATCGGCCGTTTCGAGTCATCTTGATGCGCGCCCTGGACGATCGCCAGGGCGGGGTGGCTCGAGGTTCGAGGTTCGAGGTTCGAGGTTCGGAGGTTCGAGGTTCGGAGGTTTTCGGAGGTTCGAGGATCGAGGTTGGGAGGTTCGAGGTGGGGGTGGCTCGAGATCTCGAGGTTCGGAGGGGGCGCTCGAGGTTCGAGGTTCGGATTTTTTCGGACGTTTTCGTCGGTTGTCCGCGGCCTTCCAGCCTCGGGGTGGTTTCCAGCAGCTGCGCCTCGCCGAGTGCGCTCCAGGGCTGCCCAGATCGTCTGGAATGGCCGCCAGAGGCCCACGTCATGGCCCGAAAGCCATCGTAAGAATATCGGTCTCGTCGTTGTTCGTGGGCGGGAATCATTTTTTCATTGCGCCAGGAGTTGCAGTCTCAAGATATCTAAGATTTTCAAGCGCAAGGGCGATGCCCAGATTACTGACGACAATCGTAAGATTTTGCTCGCAGTGTCTCACCAGCCTGAGTCACAGTACGGAGCCATCCCTCGCAGGGGGACTGCTATGGCGTCCTATCTGCTGCAGTCCCTCATCGATTACGCCGAGCTTGCAAATCTGTCGATATTCGTATTGTATGTTGCTTTGACAGAAATATGTGGCCGCGTAATTCGGCAGCTGATTCTTGGCTGGGGGCGGATGCCGGATGCCCGCAGGGTCCCGTCGATCTCACCTGAGTTCGCTTGGAGTCTCGAGTGAGTCGGCTGAGTAACTGGACGTTGGCCTGTCTTGCGGAGCACGGCCGCCCGCGGAAGCAGCGGGGAGTGGTCGGTGCCGCTGCCGAAATAATTTGCGCGCTCCATGAAGGCGCCTGGGTGGCCGTTTCCAAGGGCTCCCTCGAGGGCGCGAAGTTATTCGCGCTTCGCGCTTCGCGGTCCTCGTTCCTTCTCCCCCTCCTCCTCGTCCTCCTATTCTCCCTTTGGGAGGGCGGCGCGAGAGCGCGAAGTTATTCGCGCTTCGCGCTTCGCGCAGCGCGAAACGCGAAGTTGGGAGCCCTAGGTTTCAGACCTGCCCACGTCCGTCACGATCCGGACGGGAGGCCGACAAGGCTGCAAGTCAGGTGCCACCATTTTTAACGGCGTCCATGGTATTGCCCTGGGCCTCGTGTCCAGCAAACTCCAGAAAAAAGGGGGTTCCTTGATGCTCCCCCTCCCTGGCGGTGCTTGCTGGGCCCCACATGACCCCTCCACAGGTCAGGAGGAGTCTGTGTTGTATGCAGCTTCCATTTACGATGAAGCGTTGGCCGTCGTAGCTTCCTCCCCGGCGGAAATCGATAAACATATCGAAATGCTGCTCGACACGATCTTCACTGCATTTGAAAACCTTCATTTGCAGATCAATGCTGCGCCTGGAAAAACAGAGTCATTGCTTATGTACCGAGGCACTCGCGCAACAGCGTACTGCGAAGCTCGTCGCGACGCCTCTGCGCAGCTCTCTGTCCAGGTGCCCCGCCGCGACGTGCGCATCCGCGTGGTATCTTCGTACAAACATCTCGGCACCACGTGATTTTTGTGTGTGCTCGCAGCTTGTCCGATGCTACTTGCAAGGCTGTCTGAACCATATCGGCATACAGTCTTTGGAGCGGCACTCGTGCCGCAGGCCCGCACATGATATTTTATGCAGCGCCCTCTCCTCTGAAAGCCTTTGCATGGCGTGCACGTCTTGACTCCATCTCCACGTCATCTGAAGAGGCTCAACGCAGCCTGTTTGACCATACTTCGCCGCATCTTCGGCGAACCTCGATCCTGTCGCGTGGAACACTGCGACAAGGAGGTGCGATCTGCTTTGCGCCAGCCTGCGATCCAGTGTACCATGCAGTCGGATTTGATTGGACAAGACACGCGAGAGGACACAAGACCCTTCCGAGTGCCACATTGCCATAGGAATGCAGGAGGCATGGGTCGCGAGGCACAGGACACAAGGGCACCCTTGATTTGGCAGGATCGGCCTACTACGTAATCAGTGCCGACTGTCGCCGGAATCGCGCCTGAAGTGCTGCGGACGTCTTGCCCGCGAGCGCCCGCCGGGCTCTGCTCGCGCTCCTGCGCGCGCGCGCCCCGGGGGCGGAAGCTCCGGTGGACTCTTTGCGCTCGGGCGGGATGCCGAGTGGCCTCGGCAGCGTTGCTGCCCGAAGCATGGATGCGCATCGTTCAGGAGGGGAAAAAAACACAGACGCGATTAATCGTCGACTCCCCAGAAATATGGGAAAATATATGGGACGTGGGGGGGGACGGCAAAAACCCAGAAAGTATGGGGAAATATGGGGGATCCTTTTATTTGTGTGTATTTGTTTGTGTGTCCTGGGGCCCCTTCAATTGTGCTCGACGACCGCAGTTGGAAATCGCTTGTCGATCGATTGCTTTTCTGCGACTCGGTCTGCGACGTCCGCGCCGCTCCCAATCTCCCACTCTGTGGCGCGAGGCGTTCGCGTGTCATTGTGGCGACGCATCTATTTCCGAGCAGGCGCTCCAAAGCCACCAGCGAATTATTCACGTCGCGCGCCTTGAGGTTCGACTGGTTTTTGGCCGGCTCCAGGTGCCCAGCTCGTGGAACTCAGTTTCAACAGCGAGTCAGGTCGATATCCCATGTCTCTGACTTGCGCCGCCCGCGTTGTACAGAGAGGTTTTTTGTAAGTACTGCGAGCCAGTTGCAGATTCAGTAGTGCGCGCATTGGACAAGGTTGACAGGGAGCTCCGCCGCAATGCTCAACGAGTTGACCACAGCCATCATTTCGTTGTGGGTCCCGCCATGACTGCGGCAGGTCGCATTGTTTGCCGATTCCCTCGCTGGTCTGCTGTGCGGGGAGCAACTCCAGGCGTCATGTTGTCCAGTGGTCATGTGACCTTCCCGTCTGCTCCTTTCGCTTACACACGCATGCATTTCAGGTTAAACAACTTCAGACTGCAAGCCTTGACGCTTCGCGTATCCCCACCAGTCGCCTTATCGGCGACTCACTTCAGTGGCCCCCACTTACCATCCCCCAGCTGGACCTGACCAAGGTGTTCCTCGTCTCTCCATTGTGGGTGGCGCCATGGCAAGCTATGAATTCCGAGGCACTTTGTCCGGTGCACGCGCTCGAGCTTGCAGGACGTTCTCCGCCGTCAGCTCCACCCCCCGTCAGCTTCGCATCTGCTGTCTGAGTGTGGCCGGCCGGCTTGCGCCTGTCCTAGATAATTCGCCTAGCTCGCGTCCAGGACTTTGCTCTTGCCGCCTGACCGTCGTCTCGCGGCCGCGACCGAAAAAATATCCCCACCAGCAGTTTGCTCCTGATTAATTCGGCCCTCGCGCGCCCCGCTCGGACCCTGACTCGCCGCTGGCGCTCTCGCCTGCGGCTGCCGACCCAAAAGTATCCCCACCAGCCCATCCAGAAACGATGCCCGTGAAAGCTGACGGGGGAGAGAAGAAGAGACACGCATAGTCAAACAGCGAGGGAGGCCGGCCTGGATGAGCCGTCTTGGAGCGGTTTAGGGGCCTCTTAGAGCATCTTGGGAGCCATTTGGAGGTAGCTTAGGCTATCGTGAGCCACCTTGAAGGTCATTTTGGGCTCTCTGAAGCCCCTCGGGGGCCGCTCGGGGGCCTCCTGGGGGCCGCTCGGGCCGAGACTTTCGGGTGTTTTTTGGGGGCCTTTTGGGGCTTCTTAGGGCGCTCTTTGGGCCAGTTTGGGGACCTTTGGGCCTTTTGGGGCCATCCAGGAAGCGGTCGGGAAAAAACATAAAGGGGGGGGAGTATTTGATTTAGGTCCCCCCTCGGGGGCCACGATCCTCGTGAGGGTGGCAAGAAATGGCCCTCCCAATGGCCGAGAAAGGAGCATCCGACACCTCGCGATCCCTCCCCCCAGCGGTCCTTCAGGAGGGGAGGGGGAGGGTTCCCCTCCCCGGAGGAAAGAGGGGCTGTGGAAGAGGACAGGGACCCTCGTTAGACCTCCTGTCGCCCAAAGGGCTGGTGGGATTCCTCGGGCGGGAATCGTGCCCATATCTGCGACTTCGCGGGCCGGGCCTCGGGGCCGCGATCCCGTGGGTTCGGGGATTCCTGTTCGCAGGTGCCCTGCGCGGGGCGTGTCCATGCGAATGCGTAGCCACGGGATCGCGCCCCCGAATCTGTACCGCGAGGGCGTGGATACGTATAGACATGTTTGTGGCTGTCGTCGTGGTGGTGGTGGTGGTGGTCGTCGTCGTCGCAGTGGTGGTGGTGGTCGTCGTCGAGGTTCCGAGGTTCTCGCAGGTTGTCCGGCGTTTTGGCGAGCTCTTGAGGGCTTTCTCGCTGCGCGGGGGTGGGGGGAACTACGCCTCGTCGATAGCGTTCCGGAGGTGTCGGACTCGTTGCCCCGATCTCGTCCTCTTTGGGGCCGTGCTCGCGGCCCCGAGGCCATGGGGAGCGGCTCTGAGGCGAGAAGGTGCCCCCGGGGAAGGGGTCGGGACGTCAGTGGGCGCGCATGGGTCCTCCCCAAGATTCGGATCACATCGTCGGATGTCTGAGGCGGGCCGTCGTCGTCCTCGTCGTCGTCGTCGTCGTCGTCGTCGTCGTCGTCGTCGTCGTCATCGTCGTCCCTTGTCGCCCGCGTCCTTTTTATCGTCGTCTGTGTGCTGATGATGGCCGTCCGCGTCGCCATCCTCCTCCCCGTCTCCTCCATCCCATCCCTGTCCCATCCCCGCCGCCTCTACTCTCCTCGCCGCTCCCCTACCGCCCCTCCCCCCTCTCCCTCTCCCTTCTCCTCCTCCCCTCCTCCTGCCCTCCTGGGCCCTCCTGGGAATGCCAGGTCCGCTGAACCACCCATTGGCGGATCGAGCAAAAACTCAGCACAGTGGGAGGGGATGGGAAGGCATGGGTGGGAGGGGCAGGATGTTCGAGCTGGCGCGAGCGCGCCGAGCTCACCAGGGCGCGCTCGCGGGCAGGGCGCACGACGAGGCCGCTGATTGTGCCGACCGCCCTCGTCGAGCCCGCCAGCGCGACCACTGCTCAGCCGTTCGGGCTCTCCCAGCGCGCGCGCGAAGGAGGCGCCGCGCCCGCGCGCTGGTGCGCGCCGCACGTGCGCCGGGCCGATAGGCCGCGCGCGCGGCGCACGCGGCGCCTGGATGCGCCTGCTGAGGCCGCGCGCAGCCAGTCGAGATCTCGAGGTTCGGAGGGGGCGCTCGAGGTTCGGAGGTTCGGAGGTTTTCGGAGGTTTTCGGACGTTTTCGTCGGTTGTCCGCGGCTTTCCAGCCTGGGGGTGCTTTCCAGCAGCTGCGCCTCGCCGAGGGCGTTCCGGGGCTGCCCAGATCGTCTGGGACGGCCGCTAGAGGCCCACGTTATGGCCCGCAGGCCATCGTGGGGACATCGGTCTCGTCGTCGGTCTTGGGCGGGACACGCATCCATGTCCACGGCCTCGTGGGCCAGTCCTCGGGCCGCGATGCCGTGGGTTCGGGGAGTTTTCCCACGCGTGCCCCGCGCGGAGCGTGTCCGTGCGATTGCGTAGCCGCGGGCGCCGTGATCGTCCCGAACGGCCGCCAGAAGTCCAAGTTCTGGCCCGAAGGCCCATCGTGGCGACGTCGGTCGGGGGCAACGACAGGGGGGGGGGGGGAGGGTCTCCGAAGGGCTTAGACGACCCGTCCTCCTACTCTTCCTTCCTCCTCTTCCTCCTCCTTCTCCTTCTCCTCCTCCTCCTCCTTCATCTCCTCCTCCTTCTCCTCCCCCTCCTCCTCGTCGTCCTCCTCCTCCTCCTCTTCCTCCTCCTCCCCCTCCTTCTCTTCCCCCTCCTCGCCCTCCCCTCCTCGGGTCGCCTACGGCCCCGGGGAAGCCGTCAAGGGGGGGACAGGCACCGGAGGTGATATATCCCCAGTCGCCCACCGATCGCCGACAGGGGCCCGATAGCCTTCTCCGCCCAGGAGCGTTCGGATTCGCTGTCGGGGGCCTACAGTCAGACCGCGCAAGTAAGGATGATTAGCTTCCTCAGGGTGCCCTTGCATCAGACGAGGAGGAGGGCGGAGGAGGAGGAGGAGAGCGGAGGAGGAGGCGGAGGAGGAGGAGGAGGAGGAGGAGGAGGAGGAGGAGGAGGGGGAGGGGAGGAGGGGGGAGGAGGAGGAGGAGGAGGAGGAGGAGGAGGAGGAGGAGGAGGAGGAGGAGGAGCTCTTCCGTCCTCTTCGGTCCATCCTCGACCACCTTCGACGGCCAGCCCCGCTCGAAGGGCCCAGGCATGGGCGTCCGAGGCCCTCGCATCCCTACTCAAGGGCTCCCCCGAGGGCGCGAAGTTATTCGCGCTTCGCGCTTCGCGGTCCTCGTTCCTCCTCCCCCTCCTCCTCGTCCTCCTCTTCTCCCCCTTGGGAGGGCGGCGCGAGAGCGCGAAGTTATTCGCGCTTCGCGCTTCGCGCAGCGCGAAGCGCGAACTTAGGAGCCCTTGCTACTGCTCATCCTTCTCGTACGGGTTGGCTGTATTCAGGAGGGAAGAAACACACAGACACAATTCATCGTCCATTCCCCAGAACATATGGGAAACTATGGGCAGTGGGGGGGAAGACAAAAGCCCAGAAAATCTGGGAAAATATGGGGAGTCTTTTTGTTTGTGTGTATTCATTTGTGTGTCCTGGGGCCCCTTCATGTATGGCCGATCCATCGGCGATGCATCGCCGATTAGGGCTCTCGGCGCTTCCCCCCCTGAGGAGGTGCCCCCTCGGACGGAGGGGGAGGGCGCCGGGCAGGAGGGAGAGGGTGACCGACAGCTGGCTGCGTGCGCAGCCGAGGGCGTGGCGCCACAGGGGGTGAGCGGAGGTGGGCGAGGACGGCCCTCGAGGTCCTGGCGACTCGATCTGTTCGAGGCGGGCGTTTTCGCCTTTTCTCGGGTCCTGGGACCCTCACAGATCGATCCGGCTCGAAAAGTGACGCAGAAATATGGGCTCCGGGGCTCCAGGCGCGGATTTTCACGATGTTGCAGTCTTTTCGCCACGTCGGATCTCAGGGGAGCGTACACGTACACGAATCCGCGCTGGTCTCGAACGTGCGTACTGCGCGAGCTTTCGTATGACGCGGCCGGTCTGGCGGAATGGGAAACCGTGTTCATGTACGTGGTTGGGCGCGTACGTCCTTTGTGGGCTCCCTAGGTGGAGGGGCGAGGATGAGGCGTGGATGGGGGCGTCACCAGCGGCGAACGTATCCATATACGCATTAAGCATGCGCCCTCGCGGTCGGGGTTCGGGGCAAGACCCCGCAGATGCGCAGTCGCACGGATACGTTCCGCGCGGGGCATCCGCGCACAAAACGCTCCGCATCAGCAGGGTCGCGGCCCAGGAGCCCAGCCCGCGAGGCCCTGGATACGGATGTGTTTTTCGCCCACGTTGGGATGATGATGATGATGATGATGCTGCTGCTGCTGATGATGATGATGATGATGATGCTGCTGCTGCTGCTGCTGCTGCTGCTGCTGATGATGATGATGATGATGATGATGATGATGCTGCTGCTGCTGCTGCTGCTGCTGATGATGATGATGAGGAGGAGGAGGAGGAGGAGGAGGAGGAGGAGGAGGAGGAGGAGCAGGAGCAGGAGCAGGAGCAGGAGGAGGAGCAGGAGCAGGAGCAGGAGCAGGAGCAGGAGCAGGAGCAGGAGCAGGAGCAGGAGCAGGAGCAGGAGGAGCAGGAGGGACATCTCCACCAGGGCCAGGTCCCCGAGGCTGGCCTGCGCAGGGCTGCCGGTGACTGGCCGGCCGCCCTCCCTGCGTGCTGCTGCTCCCGGAGGCCACGGACTGCGGCAGGCTCGCGTCGCGTCGACGCGGCGGTGACCTCAGCGCGGGCGTCTGAGCTGCAGGAGGGGAAAAGGCACACAGACACCATGAATCGGCGATTCCCAGAAAATAGGGGAAACTATGGGAAGTGGGGGGGGGGAAGACAAAAACCCAGAAAACATGGGGAAATATGGGGGGAAATTGTATTTGTGTGTCTTCGTTTGTGTGTCCTGGGGCTCCTTCAGAGCTGCACGCGCCCCCGGTGGCCTGCAGCCGTCCGGCGTCGAGCGATCCGCGCTATCGGACAGCCGCGATCTCTCGAGGGCGAGTAACACAGGGCTAGGATCGGGATAAATCGCTCCAGAGCGTTGGGATTTTCGGCAACTTCGAGGGGACGACTTCGAGGGCTAGGATCAGGATAAATCGCTCCAGAGCGTTCCGGAGCGCTCTCAGAGCGTTCCGGAACGCTCTGGAGCGGCCGCGGCGCCCAATGCATCCCCCAAGCCCGCCGATTCTCAGAGATTTCGAGTTATCCCGATCCGATTTTGCCCCGATCTTCGCGTCGTTTTAGCGAGCAATACACGCGGTGTCGGAGGCCAGCGCGGAAGCCGCAACCGCACGCACCCGCCGTGCCCGACGTCGCGAAGCCCGGCCCGGCCAGTCCACTGGGCCCCGGGCCGCCGCGTGGGGTCACCTGTCCTGGGCCTGTCTCGGGCGGCGTGGCCTTAGGAGGAAAAACTCCTGAAGGCCTCGCGCGGCGCGCAATACGGCAGAGGGAAACAATTACTGAACACTCCCCCTCCCCCCAAGCTCAAAGTTGGCACGCGCGGGGGAGACTGCGGTCGAGGTGCAACTCATCAGATCCACCGTCAACTTTGAACATCGGTGTCGGGGGGAGGGGTATGCGATGACAGATGAATGTGGCATGAGTGTTCGCTATTTTTTCTCCGAGGCCTGTAGTTAGTTACATCATCTGGTCCACAGGTCTGCCCCGTCACAGGTCTGGGACGACGTTCGCGCGGCGATGCTCCGACGTAAACCCGACGTGGTTCCGACGCGGCTCCGACGGCCCCGGCGTAGATCCGGCGTGGATCCGACGTAAATTGGGTCTCGGGTTGCCGCGCGAGGCCTCCAGGATTTTCCCCCAACCAGTGCTTGCACTGAAGGGGTCCTATAGCGGAAGTTGTCGAAAGAGTTGGCGAAAGTTTCCCGCCGATTTTGGTAGCAGGCTGGGTTCTAGGCTTCCCGGTTCTGGGTTTCCGGGTTCCCGGGTTCCCGGTTGTTGGTTCCGGGCTTCCTGGGCTCCCGGGCTCCTGGTCGATCTCCTCAGCGAAAACCGTCCTTTGATAAGGGTTTCTCTTTGGCGTAATCCTCACAAGCGGTCCGTTGTGGAGGGTACGCTTGGCACGCCCAGCGCCCGCCCGCTGCCCCCGCCCACTCCGCCGCGGGCCCGCCGCGGGGTGCTGCGCTCTCGGCGAGCGCGGGCGACGGGCTCGCCGTGGCGGCGCCTCTCGGTGTCGCCAGCGCGCTCGGGGGCACAGCGTCGGGGAGGGACGGCCTCTCGCCGAGCGCGCCCCGCTGCTCGCCAGGGCTCCGGCGCTCGCAGACACGGATCGAAGGGGGCGTGGATTCGCGACGGGTCTCGCTTCCAGGGGAATTTTCGCGGATGCTCGCCGCCGAGCGAGGCGGCGCGGGCCGCAGTTTGGGGGGGGCACCTCCCCCGATCCGCGGATCTCTGGTGACCGCGCGCCGAATCCACGGATCGCCAATCCGTGTCTGCGCGCCCCCGAGAGGTGCCTATTCGCAGACGTCCGAGGAGCCATGCGTCGGCCCGTGTGCAGTGTACATATCAGGAGGGGAACAACACGCAGACACAATCAATCGTCGATCCCCCAGGGAAATATGGGAAAATATGGGCAGTGGGGGGGACGACAAAAAACCGAGAAAGTATGGGAACATATGGGGATTCCTGTCACTTGTGTGTATATTATTTGTGTGTCCCATGGCCCCTTCTATACATCTCGCGCAGCCCCTGCGGTGGATCTGGGCCACTTCTTGCGAGCAGCTCCTTGCTGCGAGCAGCGGAGAGCGCGCCTGCCCATCCTCGGGGGGCAGCGCACCGACCCGGAGCGCCCGCCCACCGCCGCTGGGTGGCCCCCTGACGGCCCACCCGGCCCACTCTGCGGCTTTGCGATCGGAGGCCTAATTGCCGCTCATCGGCGATGGGCCCAACGTCGACTCCAGTGCGATGCTTCCCCCCCGAGCCAGCATCGATCCCCTTTGCTCGGGATCTCGCAAAGGGGGGGGCCACAGGGGGGGGGTGAGTTCGGTCCGTTGGCGCATCGAACCGCAGAAAAACCATGCAAAACGAGGTCTCCGGCCGCCGCCGGAACCCAGGTGTCGACAATCGGGGCGCGCGGGGGGCATAGTTTTTGGAAATTTGATGCAGCAGAGGATCGAATTCCCCCCCCCCCCTCAGGGTCCCCCCCCATTTGGTGGACCCCGATTTGCGCGCGGGGGTCCGCTGCGAGGCCAGTGTGCTGATGGCCGTGACGTGGCAGGACGCCGAGCAGGACGCCGCCGCGAGCAGGGCGGGCAGCGGCCTGGCCAGACCGGCCAGGGCGCCGAAGAGGGCGGACTCCTACGAGGACGACCGTCCGACGCCGACCGTGACGTCGTCGGGCGAGCTGTCCTGGTCGCCGGGCATAAGGGTCCGCTGCAAAGATATACACATACCCAGAGGTCCAGCGTATTGGAAAAATGATGACGGCGGTGTTTCCCCAAACAGCTTGCTGAACGGGGTGCTGTTGTGATAGAAGCTAACTCCGACCGAGGGAATTCAAAGCAGAGGCGTCCTCAAACAAATTTGGTGGTCCGGGCCGTTTCGCCTGAGACATCCTCGCAGCTCTCGTTTCTGAGTTGTCCGGGATTGGGCGTTTCGCGTGAGACATCCTCCAAATTCTGAGTTCCCAGATGCCGCGCAAGAGGTGGTTTGGCCCGTTTCGCCTGAGACATCCTCGAAACTCTAGGCTCCCGGATGCCGCGCTAGAGGTGGTCCGGCCCGTTTCGCCTGAGACATCCTCCAAACGCTGAGCTCCCAGATGCCGCGCGAGAGGTGGTCCGGCCCGTATCGCCTGAGACATCCTCGAAACTCTGAGCTCTGTGATGCCGTGCGCGAGGTGGTCCAGCGCGTTTCGTCTGAGACATCCTCGCAACTCTGAGTTCTGAGATGCCGCGCAAGAGGTGGTCCAGCCCATTTCGCCTGAGACATCCTCGAAACTCTGGGCTCCGAGATGCCGCGCGAGAGGTGGTCCGGCACGTTCGCCTGAGACATCCTCCAAACTCTGAGCCCTGATATGCCGTGCGCGAGGTGGTCCGGCCCGTTTTGCCTGAGACATCTTGGCAACTCTGCGCTCTCTGATGCCGCGCGAGAGGTGGTCCGGCCCGTTTTGCTTGAGACACCCTCCAAACTCTGAGCCCCGAGATGCCGCCCAGCAGGTGGTCCGGTCCGTTTCACTTGAGACATCCTCGCACTTTTGCATTCCGAGATGCCGCGTGAGAGGTGGTCCAGACCGTTTCGTCTGAGACGTCCTCGCAACTCTGAGTTCTGAGATGCCGCGCAAGAGGTGGTCCAGCCCATCTCGCCTGAGACATCCTCGAAAATCTGGGCTCCGAGATGCCGCGCGCGACGTGGTCCAGCCCGTTTCGTCTGAGACATCCTCGAAATTCTGACCTCTGAGATGCCCTGCGCGAGGTGGTCCGGCCCGTCTCGCCTGAGACATCCTCGCAACTCTGAGCTCTGAGATGCCGTGCGCAAGGTGGTCCGGCCCGTTTCGCACAAGACATTCTCGCAATTCTGAGCTCCCAGATGCCGCGCAAGAGGTGGTCCAGCCTGGGGGCCCAGAAGACCACATGTTACACATCCCCCCTAGGACCCTGGGAGCCCCAGGAGGCTCCAGAGAGCTTCAGGAGGCCGCAGGACGCCCAGGACAGGCCCCAGGGGTCCCCAGGAGATTCCCAGGAGGCTCCGATGAGGCCCTAGGAGGCCCCCTGTCAGAACGTGTCAAGTTAGTACACATCTGGTGCCGTTTCGTTGATTTTTACTGCTCTTGTGGCCCCCCCCCATTTGGGGGGCCCAGACGGCCACATGTTAGAGATCCCCCCCTGGGAGCCCCAAGAGGCTTCAGGAAGCCCCAGGTGGGGTCCAGGAGGCCACAGGAGGCCCAGGAGGAAGCCCTAGGAGGTCCCCAGGAGGCCCCAGGAGGCCCCCGCAACTCGGGGCTCTGAGACGCCGCGCTCGAGGTGGTCCGGCCCGTTTGGCCTGAGACTTCCTCGCAGCACGTTTCGCCCGAGACATCGTCGCAATTCTGGGGTCCGAGATGCCGCGCGCGAGGTGGTCCAGCCCATTATGCTGGAGACATCCTCGCAACTCTGGGCTCCGAGATGCCGTTCGGGATGAAGAGGAGGTGGAGGAGGAGGAGGAGAAGGAGGAGGAGGAGATGGAAGGGAGAAGGAGGAGGAGGAGGATGTGTATGAGGGAGCAGGCAGGAGTAGGGGGAAGAGGAGGAGGAGGAGGAAGAGGAGGAGGAGGAGGAGGAGGAGGAGGAGGAGGAGGGAGAAGGAAGGGAGTTGCAGGAGAGTGCCTAACGGGAAGCGAGTGGGACGTGGACTTGTTAGAACGTGTGCAAGAGGTTGTCCGGCCCGTTTCGTTTGAGACATCCTTCCAATATTGAGTTCCAAGATGTCGCTCGCGAGGTGGTCCGGCCCGTTTCGCTTGAGCCATCCTCACAATGCGAAGCTCGAAGATGTTGCGCGCGAGAGATGATCTGGCCCGTTCTGCCTGAGACGTTTCGTAGCACAGGGGCTCCAATCACAACCTCTCTCATTCCTTCTCCCGCCTTCCTCTTTCCGCTTCCCGCCTGGCTCCTCTTCCCTCCTCCCTCCTCCCGCCTTCCGCCTCCAGCTGCTGCGCCTCTGCCTCCGCCTCCCCGTCCCTGCCGTCGTCGTTTCTGCCGCCTCAGCATCCGTCATGCGCGCCCTGCCTTCTGCCCTCCTCAGACATCCGACGTGCGAGAGAGTACGACACCCTCTAGCTCTAGCGTTAGCTTCCTGATAGGCATGCGTCACGCAAGTGTTCGTGTAAACATCTCATGTGCAAACATCATGGTATCATGTTCTAACATGCCATGTCAGCCCGCACTGGACGGGCACGCAATCGACCTTGGAAACCGCAGTGGGTTTAAAAACTCTGTTTGGGGATACTGAACTCCGGCTATAATTCGTTTTTTTCGGCCTCGAGGGCCCTCGCCGGGCCCCAGGCCCGTGAAAAAAGAATGGGGATGAGAAACAGGTCCCGGGGGATGGGTCGAGATTTCGGGGACCCCGTATTGAAAAAAACACGACATCGGATCTCTGGGTAGAAAGACACTCTCCCATGGACTGCTGCTGGGCCTCAGGGGAGGGTGGCGGTATATAGATCACCCCTGGAAGCCAGCGACTCTGCACACCGCCGCCCCCCCTGAGGGTACGTGCGAAGTTCGTCGGAGGGTGCCGAGCATTTTCTTTGGGTGGAGGGCATAGGGTGAAACCTGAAATGCCGTTTCGATAGTAATATATTGTCGAGGCCTGAATCTGCTAAAGGTGAATCGCAAGACGAATTGGTTTTCGAGGTGCAAAAGCCCATGTGGATTTCACCCTGGGCCCTCCACCCTGAGAAGCTGCTCAGGGGTGCCTGTGGGTGTGGGTGTATCTTCTCGTGGCGCAGAGGGAGACGCGGGCGCGGACCCTGTTCCGGTCGGCGAGCCGGGCCTGCACGAAGCACGCCTCGAACGTGGGCGCCAGCATCCCCCTCGCCAGCCGCTTCGTCTCCTTCTGGAGGCCCAGCAGCCGCCGCCTCGGCTCGCCACGTTCTGCCCACTGCCCCGGCGGGCCGCCGCCTGCGGGCGGCCGTGCGGTGCCAGGCTGGCCGTGGCCGCCGCCTGCGGGCGGCCGTGCGGTGCCAGGCTGGCCGTGGCTGCCTTCGGTCCGGGAGCTTCTCGGGTTTTCTCAGTTTTCCGCTCCGGCGGACCGGGAGGGAGGAGGGAAGGAGGAGGAGGAGGGGGAGGAGGATGAGGAGGAGGAGGAGGAGGAGGGAGGAGAAAAAGAGGAGGAGGAGAGGAGGAGGAGGAGAGGAGGAGGAGGACGGGGAGGAGGAGGAGTAGGAGAGGAGGAAATAGGAGGAAGGAGGAGGAGGGAGGAGGGAGGGAGGAGGAGGAGGAGAGGAGGAGGAGAGGAGGAGGAGGAGGAGGAGGAGGAGGAGGAAAGAGGAGAAGGAAAGAGGAGGAGGAGGCGGAGGAGGAGGAGGCGGAGGAGGAGGAGGGGGAGGAGGACCAGGGCAAGCCCAAGACGTGTCAACGGTTTGCAGCATGTCTTTCCTCCAAGTTCCCTCTTCCTTCATGTGTACAGACAAGAACTTGCAGTGCGTCATTGGAAGACACCGTCTGATGATCTCCAATCGTGCCCAAGTACCATTCCTGGCACTTCAACGCTGCGAGTCCACGTGACCGTTGCATCCTGGCGACCCTGAATTGTGCCAGAACGCCATTCCTGTGACTTCAGCACCGCGAATCAACGTGACCGCTGCTTTCTGGCAATCCGAAATGGTTCCAGAACAGCGTTCCTGCGTCTTCAACAACATGAATCCTTGAAGCTGTTGCAAGCTTTGGCGACGAATGCGCGCGGCGCGTAGCCGAGAGCCACATTTTGAAAAGGAACCGCCCTGCATCCGTGAAGCGGTTATGAGCTCTTAAGACGAACGTGCTCGACGCTAAGGCGTGAACCACATTTTGAAAATGAGACGCCCTCATTCGTGAACATGTTGCAACCAGTTAGGACGAACGTGCGCGGCACGAAGGCGAGAGAAACATTTTGAAAAGGGAACCGCCCTCCATCCGTGAAGCTATTACGAATTTCAAGCTTCAGGATCATAACTGGTGAGGATGTCTCTGGCGAAGCGCCCGGCCCGCTCTGCCGACACGTCTCCGGGTGCGACAGGGATGTGTTATCGAAGGTGCCTACGGCGAGTCACCGCCGCCCCCTGTCTCTGGAATTGCCCATGTGGCCGATCGTTGTGGCAAGAGCTCTGCCAAGCTATCGGACCATGTGCGATGTGTTTCCCCCGCTGATGTGGGAACCTTTCGGGGAGCACTTGTGGGAGGATGGCAGGGGGGATCTGGAGGAGGAGGAGTTGGGGGAGGAGGAGGAGGAGGAGGAGGAGGAGGAGGAGAAGGAGGAGGAGGAGGAGGAGGAGGGGGCATCTTGGGAGCCTCTGGGGGCACCCTTGGTGCCACCTGAGAGCTTCCTGGGAGCCTTTTGGAGGCATCTAGGGGGCCTCCTTGGGCTTCTTTGAGGCCTTTGGGGGCTTCTCGGGAGGCTCTTTGCCCGTCTTAGGGCATTCCTGGCCCGTCTGACGCCTTTGGAAGCCGTGTTGGGAGCCTCTCTTGGCCGACTTGGGGCCCTCTTGGGGTGCTCCAGGGCCGTCTTGGAGGCCATCTTGGGCGTCTTGGGGGCCGTCTTGGGGCCCTCCTGGGGCCGTCTCGGGGGCCTCCTGGGCCGTTCCGGGGCCATCTTGGAGGCCTCTTGGGCGATCTTGGGGCGATCTTTGTGGGCTCTTGGGCCGTTTTGGGCCGTAGGCCGAAGATGAACAAATGCTAAAATCTTTCAAACATCTGAGGAGCATCGATGAATTTGGCGTTTTCGGGCCTTCCTGGAGGCCCTCTTGGGGGCATCACTTTAAACGGAGAGGGTTAAAGGCGAGATGTAAATCGAGCATGCACCGCTGCCGTGCCTGGCTCAAGCCGGGCCCGGCCGAACATGTGATTGTGCCTCACCGAGGCGCACTACTCGCATCTGAGATCGGAAAAGACCTTTCTATTGAAGATGCCCCTTCTATCCTTTACTCCAGATCCCATGCTTCATCTTGCTCTCTTGCTCATGCGGTATGAGCCAAAGCCTGGGATATGGGAGCGCCTAAGGCGGAACATATATCTTGGCTTACCAGTGCGTTTTCGACTTGGTAGCGGAGCTGGCTACACTCTCGTGTGGCTGGCTCTCGCTCTAATACCCATCATCCACGGCACAACTTGGTGGACTACTACTACGGTGGAATACCATGTTGCGCCGGCTCTGCGAGGAGCGGAGCCAGTCCGCGATCGGGCTAGCGGGGCGACCCGCGAGCTCGAGACGCTCTCTCCTATCTCACTGCGCTACTTCACTCCCGACTTCCACCAGATGCCAATCGGCAACTCGATCGAGAACGTGGTCACTCTGCGGGGCTACCCGCAGCGGGGCCACCTGCATCCCGTGCCGGTCAGGCGCCTTACGGCTACTACGCCCGAGCCTGACAAACCACAGCCTAAACCAATCACCGAAGCCGAGATGCACATGCACTGGATCAAGATAACTATCTTCGGCATTCTATGGGTGATAATGGGATGTGCTGTGGGCTACATGCGGCAGGGGATGGACGACACGCGTACTACCGGCCCTTCTTGGGACCCAGCCGGTACTACGCCCTTTCGCGAGTACGTTCGCGAAGTACATGCATGGATAAACGTGACGAGCGGCAATATGACGCCACCTCAGCAAGCTGCAGCACTACAACGTGGTCTTCAAGGCCTTGCTCGTCGTATCGCCATGCAGGTCCCCTCCCAGATCATCAATTATGGTGTAAATGTCAACGGACAGCCAACGGATGCAGTTACTTATATACTTATCTATTGAGTACCAAATTTGAAAATCTGGAAGATGAGCGCCAGCTCAACTCTGGCACTGCCCTTATCGACTTTCGCGTCGAAAGGGGCGAGCGAATCGACTCAGTGTTAGCTCGATTCGAGATGGCCCGTGACGAGGCTAACTCTGTTGGATTTGTCATCCCCAACTTTCAGATCCTAACGCTGATCCTTTTCAGAGCGTTAGGCGTTGGCGCGTCACGAGCCCAACACCTGCTGGAGCCCTTCAATCATCAGATGCCCAGAACGCAAGCAGACTATGATAGGCTGCTGACCAGGATGAGGAACTACGGGCATGTTGCCGAGCGCTCTCCTGGCAACATTGCGGGCATCTTCACAGGGCACCACGCACATGCAGGTGTCTACGCCACGACTGCGGGTCACCCGCTGGTCCTGGCGAGCCAAGTCCCTGGGCTGATTCAGCCGATATGCCCAACGAGGCCACTGCCCTCTTAGGGCAGACCGGCCAGGCATCGGCAGAGGCAGCGGAGGCGAACGCCTGGTCGAACTACACGCCGGGCGCCGCCTACACTGCAAGCCCGCCCTCGGGCACAACCCTCTGGGGCCAAGCGGAGTCATCCGCTCAAGGGTCTCAGCCACCCTCTCCGTTTGAATCTGTGACACAGATACCTCATCTGACGGTGATCACAATGGCATGGTCTCTGCTGGCAATGACTACCCAGCTGATGACACTCACCTTTCTGAACAACACAGGGCGGAAGCCGCTTTTATGGCTTATCGCAAATCAAAACGCCGTTGGAGGCGCATTATGAAGAAACCGGTCAGGAAAGTGAGACGTGCAGTACGCCGATATTTCAAACGCTATGGAAAGGGTCGTGGCAAATGGGGTCGCAGACGCCGTATGCATGGTAGGGGTATCACTGCTTTCCTCACGTCCTTAACTGATGTAGTTTTTGAAGAAGTTCTTATCGGAGGCAAAGGTCGGGGTCACAGGCGGACCTCTGGTAAGGGAAAAGGGCGGAGGGGTAACCCTAGGGACGCTTCTGGCAACACTATGAAGTGTCATACATGCGGTAGCACAGAGCATTTGCGCGATCATTGCCCGAAGGGGAAAGGAAAGGGATCCGTACATTTGGCTCAAAACTCTTTTATGGATGACATAGACTACATTGACTACGAGTTTTACGTCAATCCAGAAGCGGCTCCCGCCGCGGGCTCCTCCACGTACTACGTGATGGCCCGCTACGCTGATGCGACCGTAGCCCTGGAAGAGTACGCGGTGACCCTCTTCGACGAGTTCCACGGCTGGGACGAAGTCGACGAGGGCGCGTTCAACGCCTGGTTCGGTCTTCCAGCGGGGCCACCCGCCGACGACGAGATCTCCGAAGCTGAGACCGTCCCGGCGACCGAGGAGGAGCTCGCCGCCGCGCTGGCACCGCAGGTGATCGGCATGCCGTTGCTGCCTGATCTTTCGCGAGCCGGCTCGGAAGCGGGAGACGCTGACGACGAAATGCGGGGCCATCCCGCAGCTTATTCTGACTCTGAAGAGGCCGAAGAGGACTATGAGGACAGGCTCCAAGAGCAGGTCGCAGAAGCGATCCAGCTCCTGAGTGCGCCAGCACATCAGCAGATGACCATGAACGACCTGCTGTCGCGCCCAGGGGCCGCAAGGCTGCGTCCATACCTGGATCCTGATATGTCGGCACCGCAGATGCTGACCGCACTCCAGGCCCTAGCGGGGCCACCCGCTGAAGCGGCGCCAGCTGCAGCAGCGGGGCTACCCGCTTGGTCTATGGACGAGTTCATGCAGGGCTGCGACCAGATGGACCTCAACGACCTCACTATGGAGCAGCTGACCGACATCGGGTACTTCCAAAGCCCGCATCAGCACGTATTCATGGTCCAGGACAGCTCAGAGGACTCGGAGGACAGGCGCAATGCAAAGAAGAACAGACGACCATCGCCACCTCGAGATCCAGAGCACCGTCATGAAGATGAAAGGCCCATGGAACGTGGCAGTGCGTCAGCGGGGCCAACCCGCAGGAGGAGCCGTTCAGCTCCACGACGCCCTACACATGATGCATCTGGCTACCCGTGCAGCACGGAGCACTCCAGAGGTGTATCCGCTCAGTACGTGCCGGAGTGGTACATCAATT